TCACAGATTTCAGAGCGCTGGGCTCTGCCTGTTGTTCGTCCTCCCAAATCCCATGGAAATGATTTACTCTTCGGCCTTGCACCCAGAGAGTTCCAGGGAGGACTACCACTTGTAGATTTATTACCCGGTACACAGCCCTCCTGTTCCTTGGAATCCTTGTAGCTGCTAACTAGCTTTGAGTTAGCATGCCTTTGTCCATTCTTTTGCAACACTGGTAAAGTGGTGTCATTCCAACATAGTCCATTCACTTCCATGTTAACTTCCAACAGTTGTATTTTCATTTCCAACACGGCCATCTTCTGTAGAAGTTTGTGGAAGTCATCTGTAGAGAACGGAGGCATTTTGCTGCTAACTAACTTAAGCTAAATTACATGCAGTACCAGGCTTTAGCTGTTGCTAGGCCACGCTACTGTAAGACTGAGGTTGTCGTAAAAATATTGAAATATGGCTGAAACCCTCCGTCTATTTACGAAGAATAACTGTCCTGGTGATAAGTTAATGTCCAGGAGCCGCTGCTCGAAGTTTTCAGAAAAGAAAAATAGGAAAATCAGCATAGAAAAGTAAGCAGAGGCAAGAGCAAGCAGAAAAGCATCTGCACTGTAAGAAAGCAGGAGTCACATCTCCTGCTGTAAACCCCCTTTAACACTTCAAGGGAAAACCGAGTTAGACAGGCCTAGAAAAGTCTATCAAATGTTCAGGTTCATATCAGTATGTAGTTTCTCTACTGGGACATGTCTCCATGCTTTAATGTTCAGAAAGCTCTTTATTTCTCTCATACTGCCTGTGCTGCAGCACCTCATTTCTCCCTCTCTCTGAAACCAGAGCCCAGTCTGCTCTTATTGGTTAGCTGGCCGGCTCTGTTGTAATTGGTCAACCGCTTAGAAATGTGTCGAAAATGTCCCGGCCCTTAGCAAATCACCTACAATGTTTACAAAAATAAACTGTGGCATTAGTTAGCTAAAAAAATGAATATATGTTTGTAACAGTAAGCTTTCCTCCAAACAACCAAAAATGTACAGTTCAACCTTTTGGCTAAATGAAGCACCTACCTGTATGGAACACATTTTGCTCAACCTTTTTTATCACAAGCAAAACTGTTGTTGTAGCCAAGATGATCATCTATTAGAGTGGCTGACTGTAACTGTGTTCTTAGCTCAATGACAATAAAGGCCAATCTGTTTTTTAGAAAAAAACAGACGCTCCGTCTGTCCACCTGTAGCTGCATCCTTATCCTTTCTTCTTTGACCTTCTTCCCTTCATTCCCTGTGACCTCCCATCTTTCCCGTTCAGCCTCAGACAGAGCCCGTGGGTGTTCGGACTCCTCGGCTGAGGGACTGGCATCTAGTGTAGCCCCCCCGCTCAGTTTGTCCCTCACTCCGGTTCTCAGCCCGGAGGAGTTTGAGCGTCTGTGGCTGCAGCGACAGGATTTGCATACTGAGCAAGGTAACGAGACGGAAGGAAAGCTTCTCTGTTTCTATTTTGACTGCTCAAATAGCAAACAAATTCACAATAAATATCTGCATATCATATAGATCTAGATTTAGAGAGAAAACAGAGTGCCATACAAGTATTTTCTTTGTATTGTCTTTTTATTCAAGTCTATACATTCATTGACAAAACATATCAATATTCTCTTTTAGCTTTCTGTAGTTTACAATGAATGCACACATCAATGTATTATAAATTGTGTGGACAATACAGAGGCATGACTCTATGACTGTTAAACATGCTATAAATAAAAAATAATTATGAACATAAACAAGGTTATGGAAGTGTACCTCAATGAAAGGCGCACATAGAACTTTTTTTTTAACAAAAAGACATATCAAAAACAATCTGTCAATCCACTGTAGGTTTTTCCTGGTTTTAACCACACTCTAGTAATGGATTTCCTGCTAGCAGCACTCAGGATTTGAAATAAATATTTGTCTTTACAGGAATTATTTTCTGGCTGGCCACTTTATATTTCAACTTTCATTTGTCTGTCTGACATCAGTTTCTCTGACTGTTGCGGCTAGATGCTGAGAAGCGAGAAGAGGAGCAGGATTGTGCATGTCTTGTGGAACACATCCGAGGCCCTGCAATAGCACACTGCTCCCCTCAAAGCCTTCAGGCTGCAATGCAGCTGGTCAACATCCAGACACTGGCCTTCACCCCGCCGCACACACTCCCTTGGAGGGTCTACCTGTTCACACACACCCAGCACACACACAGTGGCTACGCACCACACAGCACGCTCATAGTCGGGGAGCTGCTGTACACCGGAGAGGCAAATCAGAGGGTGAGGTTGGTAAAGACAGGCTCGGATGATGGAGACTTGGTGGAGGGCAGCAATGAGGAGCATGTGAGAGAGGGAGGAGACCCCACATCTGCTGGGCTGAGAGAGTCTGCCAGAGAAAATGGAGAAGAGGAGGAAGTGAAAGTGACTCTGAAGCAGCAACCAAGAGATGACAGCGCTCTGAAGGGGTTTCTCTCCATCCTCACCACCGTACTGCACACACTGTCCTCAGAGAGGGCGTAAATATGCATTACACATGCATACACACACACAAGCATCATTGGACCTACCTAGATGTGTTAAGTCATTCGGTCCAAGTCTCAGATAAAGCCCCACCCCACTTATCTGTCTTACAAAAAGAAAAAGTAATTAGTACCTGTCTCATCATAATAATATTGGCCAATTCATCTAACATGTTCCAAAAATATGACGATTGTTTATTAATATTATAGATATTTAGAGAAAAAAAATTATCAAAACTTTAAAAAATATGTTTTCTTAATTTCTTCTTAATTAAAATGAAACAAACTAGAACTGAAGACCACTTCTCAGAAAATTACTATGTCTTTAAGAAGTCCCTCACTGATCACAATCATTCCCTCTCAAACAGAACTTGCGTAAACCACAGACAGAATGACAGAAACCAGTCAGGTTAGCATTTGGCCTGGTTTTAACCACACTCTATTAATGGCTTTCCTGTATTTACGGGAAATGTTTTCTGGCTGGCCACTTTAGGGGCCATATGAAGGACTAGCATCACTGCACAAATGTATACTTCTCTTTTATTTTGGGATTGAGAGAAAAAGAATGCTCAAAGACAAACATGATGGAAACCACCTTTCACAGGAGGCAGAGCTTGACAAGGGAGGATTGTTTACCCCAGTGCCCAAATGCAGACAATATATACCACATATTTTTGGAGGGCTCTTGGAGACATGTAAATGAACTGATTAAAACATGTGGATTGCTTTCCTACCTATTTCCAGCTCAATCAGCTATTCTAGTTATAAATGTCCAGACCCCTTCTGAAACCATAGTTAGCTAAATCCAGCCTGGTCAACCCTTTTTTCAGCAAGAACTGTTATCAGTTTGCCTGTTGAGTACCCTCAGTAAATGCAATGACTGTTGGATTCAAGCGGTCTAAAGCAGATGTGGAGGAAGTATTCAGATCCTTTAGTCAAAATAAAAGTACAATATTTCCCTTTGAATGGTAGTGGAGTATAAGTATTATGGCACAGATATAATAGACTTAAGTAGATTCCAAGTACCTCAAATGTGTACTTAAGTGTACTTGAGTAAATGGCATTAGCTGTGGTGAAAAGTAACACAGTACATTTGCTTAAGTATTGTACTTGAGTACGATTTGGGCACCTGTACTTTACCTTAGTATTTTATTTTAGGCTCTTACTCCACTACAATTTGGAAGCCAATATTGTACTTTTTATTCCACTATATTTATTTGACATAATTACTTCGTAGTTATTTTACGGATTCAGAATATGTGCTTAAACACAATATAAATTAACTATCAGATATAATTAAGACAGCCAGCAGCAGTACATAAAGTATGTGTGTATGTACAGTTGCAAGAAAAAGTATGTGAACCCTTTGGAACTACCTGGAATTGTGCATAAAGTCACAACAATAGACTAACACAGTCTGCTTAAGCTAAAACCACACAAACAATTATATGTTTTTATGTTTTTATTGAACACACCATGTAAACATTCACAGTGCAGGGTGGAAAAAGTATGTGAATCCTTGGATTTAATAACTGGTTGACCCTCCTTTGGCAGCAATAACCTCAACCAAATGTTTCCTATAGTTGCATATCAGACCTGCACAATGGTCAGGAGGAATTTTGGACCATTCCTCTTTACAAAACTGTTTCAGTTCAGCAATATTCTTGGGATGTCTGGTGTGAATCGCTCTCTTGAGGTCATGCCACAGCATCTCAATTGGGTTGAGGTCAGGACTCTGACTGGGCCACTCCAGAAGGCGTATTTTCTTCTGTTGAAGCCATTCTGTTGTTGATTTACTTCTGTGCTTTGGGTCGTTGTCCTGTTGCATCACCCATCTTCTGTTGAGCTTCAATTGGTGGACAGATGGCCTTAAGTTCTCCAGCAAAATGTCTTGATAAACTTGAGAATTCATTTTTCCGTCGATGATGGCAATCTGTCCAGGCCCTGAGGCAGCAAAGCAGCCCCAAACCATGATGCTCCCTCCACCATACTTCACAGTTGGGATGAGGTTTTGATGTTGGTGTGCTGTGCCTTTTTTTCTCCTAC